TACGCTAGGTAATAATGATACGTTTGATACTCTATACTACTTGTTGTGGACAAGGATATGTTAAGTTTGTGCGAATGCATGCTACGTTTTAATAATACACTTGGTTATAATGATACCCATCCTAAAGGACATGTTAAGTTTTGCGGGAATGTATGCAACATTCAATTTTTGCGATACAGTGACATGTTTTGGTCCGAAGGATGAACGCTATTGAAACCGGTTCGGATAAGACTATCTTTTAAAACATCTTATTTTAAAAAGTCGTTATATGAATAACTGTGGAATGCTATAAGATGTTAAATGGCGAACCGTGGACTGCTGTAATTTTTTTATTTGCTTATTTTATATTTATATTTATTTTAACAGTCAGGTTATAATAGTAATTAGAAACACGAAATCCGGGAAGAAAGAATTGGATGAAAGTGAAAATGTTTGAGAAGACTTAGGTCGGCGACGATTTAGAGTCGCAACCATATGAAAAATCTGATATGAACAAGAAAAAAAAGAATTTGAATTTACGCGATAACTGATGAGCAATTTGCCACATATGAAATTCCGGGGCGTTGTGTTGCAATTAATTCGAAAGAGAAGTTTTCAGAAAACAAATGAAATTTTGAACAAACCTTTCGTTAAAATCCATATCAAAGTTATTGACATTAATAAATCGATATAATTTTTATATATACATAAGTATGTTTCTTTTTTTTTTTAAGTATATGTCGTCAGAAAACTTTATATTAATCGCATTCTTCGTAGAGTTAAAGCAATTCTTCAAGTCATGTACCTTGCTCGCAACAGCGAACCTGACCACTATTATTACGATTAAAGCTATCTGCTAGTCTCTGATGGAATATGCTTAACAAGTAAATAAAAGAAAGGGATATCATCAGTACTTGCGAGAGACGATACCGAGTTATATTGTTAATGATTTAACTGACCCCTGGCGATAAAAATACACATTTTTCGTACAATTATTTATTTATTGAGAAGACAATGAAAGAGCTACATCTTCAGAGTTGCATTAGAAAGAAAAGTCAACGATGCTACTATCTTATGTTGGTCAAACTATTTTGGCACAGTATTTGCTAGAATTCGTTTTGATCATACAGTTGCAACACAACAAATGCATTCTTAAGGAATCTAGTTATTCAATTTATAGCTGTGTAGAAGAGCTTAAAACGATAAGACGCGGCGCGCATTTTGTGACTGTCATGACATATTGAAGATTCGCATTCCGAAAAAATTGTCCTATGGACGCACCCTAAAGGTATTAAAAAATCCTCATACACATAACTTTATCACAATGATTAGACTTGACGATTTAAAACTAACTGATTACCTGATTACATTACCTGCAAATGATTGAGAAGTTTTTCTTAACCAAAAGTTTTATTCTTTTTGGCTCAAAACAATTTATAATAATCATAATAATATTTTCTCTGATACTATTGACTGAATATAATTAGTTTTATGACAAATTTTTAAAAGCTTAAAAAATTTAATAATAAGACTAGTTTGCGTGGCACTGATCCTACCGGTAGTTCGGTTGCCATCTATTGAGTTCAACTTGTTGTGCCTATGAACTGTGCGTTTGTTAGATGTAATAGAATTTCGATACACTTCATATTACCCTAAAAAATAATGATTATCGTCGATATGCTTGAAGGGTACGTTTTATATGTCTCACGACTTTTGTAATATCGGTGTGAGGAGCTTGATTTCTTGCTTAAAAAATATTGTTATACAGTAAATAAATTTGCAAAAATTTATGGAGTATTTTATGGAGAATGCATTGAAGAGACGATCATATCCTGTAAAGTGATTAGATTTTCATAAATCCGCGGATTAATAAGCATTTTTCTCTCAAAAATGATTAAAATTCAAAACATTATTACTACTACATATATAGTAGTAGATATATATATCAACTACATAGGATCAAGTTTAAAATCGTATGGAATTCACTCACAAAATGTGCCCTCAAATGAGAAGACAGAAACAAAAATTTGTTCCTTCCAATAAAGAGGTTTTTTTTTTTTTTTTTTTTTACTCAATGATTTGCTTCAAATTTCGAAATAAAATCTGCCAAATATATAATATCTTATTATCACCGACAATTCAATGTTGATTTGATGAATGGCTAAGAAAGTCACGGTAAAGTTTAGATAGTCAAGCAAGTTCTTGTAAAATTTTATTGTGATAGGGGAGAATGATATGCGTCTTTTGTTTTTTAAGCTGCTAAAGGATGAGACGGAGAAATGTAAGGAAACTATAAAGTATACACTTTTCTCATATAGATCCGTAAATCAGGCTGTTTGGAAAGTCTCGTTACTTCGTAGTGTTAAAGAAGATGTCGAAAGCGATGAAAACTCTTAGAATAAACTGTTATGGGCCGCCTTAAGCGTAAAACTAATCGATCATGACTTTTCATGTTGTTACATGTTTATGTTTGCTTGCTGTGATGGTAATGCTTTCAACTTTTTCTTTTTTTTCTTTTACTTATCAAAGTTGATATTCCCATCAAAATGGTGAGAAATGTTTTAATCATGTTCAGAATATTTAATTTAATTTTTTTTTTTTCAAAAAAAAGCAACAATAGTTATGTGAAAAGTAAACCAATTCAATATAAAAACCATTAACGTTTATTTAAATCAGTTAATTTATGGTGGCACAAAATAAATTTATTTGTATCAATTAGTTTTTGTTTTTTTTTTTCATATTTAAAAAACAGCACCAAAGGATGGGAATATATCAAGTTTGTCATTTCATTTTTAGTATTCAAGAATTGATGGCTTAAGAAGCCTATAAACGACGGATTGAAAAGTTCACGGAAACATCTATTGTTAAAAGTTATTAATGCTGAGTTATGGATCCTTCAAGTTTCACACTGAATACTTATGATAGTCGAAAGGACTATTGTCGTTGCTTCTGTACTACATCACCAACCTAACGATATTCACATAACAATTTTTTAAAATGAGACGTTACATGGAAACTGTTTGAAGAAGTGATCCGATCCAAACCATTTTTAATAGCGGTCTCGTCGTTAATCTAAAACACATTAGTGTCAAAATATCTGAAAAAGTTCAGGTGAACACAAGAAAACGAGACGGACATATTGAGGGACAAGCTTAGATCGATTGAGAAAGTGATTGAGAAATTGACTCGGAATCAAACGGTATAATAAAAGATGGGTCTACCTAGAGACCTACCCTCTAGACGTTGCATACATCCACGTAAACTTAAAATACCCCTATATATCGCAAGTGTTGTAAATTAAACACACAAACTCTCTCTCTCTCTCACTCACTCACTCACTCACTCACTCACTCACTCACTCCCTCTCACTCCCTCTCACTCACTCACTCCCTCTCACTCACCCTCTCTTTCTCACTCTCGCTCTCTCAATGATAGCTATGTCGGCCCATACTTTCGCTCTTTTAACGGAAAGCTCACATAACAGTACAAATTGAAATAGAAATCTACAATTTATTTAATCTATTTTGACTTGTTTGCCATTTATATATAAGGCCATGCAAATGATTCTGATCGAGTGTAATTGATTAGGCACACAATAAGCAAACAAAATACATTATAATCAATTATATGGTCCGAAAGAAGTGAGGAAACAAAATGACATAGGAATGTGGTGTAATGGCTTATTGGGTGTGTACCCAATCGGTTACCGTCTAGGCATTCAATAAGGCTGGGGATCAAAGTATGACTAGTTTAAGGTGACGAGCATCATATACTCGCTCCAGATAAGTTTTTCGCTTTCTACCGCCTCTTAAATACGACTTTCACATTAAGTTTGAAAGGAAAAGGAAAAGGAAAAGAAAGGAAAACAACTCACCTCCAACTTTTTTAATTAGACCTGAACTACGAGTTTTGGAAATTTTCAAAGTTTGTCGATCACTTTTTTAGTTCTGCGTTACA